CAGTTCATGAACACCTCCAGTTGCCAAATAAAATAATACCTGAAGGCACATGTGTACGACACCGTCATGCTCATTACCATGGCCATCTATTTACGCTTTGTCCGGCCACTGGAAAGCGCAGTCAACGCAGAGTCCTCAAACAAGATCCGCCTTATTGATTAGTGATGTTTGTTTGCTCACGCGGATTTACAGAGAAAACTGGTCTTCGTCTCCACAGAAAACGAGTCCACGTCATTACCTTTACCGAAAGACGACCACGGCCGACCAAACCCCGCTGGTTTGTGTGAAACGTTAGCATCATGACAAGGATAGAAGCTCTTTTTGCCCCTACCACCGGAAAACAGGAGGATGCAGTCTTAATGAAAAACAGAACTGGCATCAACGGCGTATTTAACTGATTAACTGGAAAGAAAATAAGGGCAGTGGACAGAAAATATTTCTGCCCTGGTTGAATCAGTCAAAAGTCGATTGCTCGCACCTCACGTTTCGACACTACAACAACAGATGGGGAAGCAAATAAAATTAACGAGGGACTTTCTACGCCAACGCAGTGTCAGTAAACGCCCAAATGTCAAAACCACTGCGACCCTATGTTATCTGAAAGAGAAACACAGGCTGCTGATTTACAACAGAAACTAGGGACGAGGCGAAAAAAATCCCGTTACTTTCCCGACGAATTTTTGCCTTACCTCAGTGTCGCTATATCCATGACTGGCGAGAACACTGTTAATAATGCATTTCGGAATCGACTCAGTGGGATCAGATGGACCGACATAAAGGGCTTTGAAAGATTAGCCTTTTGTGCCATCTTCGATATCTAGCTGCTGCGCAGGTTTATATGCGCCGCCCTCAAGCGATGCTGTACCGTCCTCGTACCGAAAAGTGGCGCTAATCTGAGAGTTCCCGAATCATACCATCCTATCACCATCACCTTCATCGTATACCGGCTTTTTGCTAAAATCATCCAAGAGCATCTCGAACGTATGGTAGCGCTGAACCCGGCACAAAAAGCTTTCATACGAAGAACGAATGGTGGCTTCGAGGCAACATTCACGATTGACGCGTGAATTGCCGAAGTTGCAAAAACAGGCTTCGAACTCGAAATCATCTCACTCGACCTAAAAAAGGCCTTCGACTGCGTGCCACATGCTAACGTCACTCGAGTACTCCCGTGACATAACATCAACAGCAACTACATCCATCCGGTAACTGATATTCTCACAGGATCGATGACATGCATCCAGCTAGCCAACCACTCCGGAACAGAAATCGCAATAACGAGATGGGTTGAACAAGGCGATCCTCTATCGCCACTGCTTTTCAAGCTAGTTCTGGATGAATTGCTGTACGATTTACTGGAGAAATCTGAATGCCAACCTCTGTACGGCCAGAGAACCTGAGCGATTGCATTCGTTGGTGATCTGATCCTGCTATCCGAGTTAAAGGCAGGGATTGGTGAATTGGTGAAAGTGACCAATAACTTTCTTTCGGACAGGTCATCATCCTGAAGCGACCAAATCCCATCGTATGAGGGTATACGCCGTCCCAAAAACAAATGCCTCCGTTCTGGCCCATTTACGCCGCGGCAACAAGGTACGCTTTCATCGAATGCGTTCCCCGAGTTCCTTTCTCGCACACCTCGACTGCTCGATCCCTCTCTGCTGCCAGGCCATCATCCGTCTATATGGTGTCAGGGAATCCTTGAAAAAGATTTGCAAGGCTCCCTGAAACTCGTTTAGAAAATCGAGCTGATCAGGACACACCTCAATTTTCGGGCGGTTACATAGCGGCAGTGATGAACCCTCTGTCAAAATCTCAGCCAGTCGAGTAAGGTTGTCCGAGGCGCCAATAAATATATCCTTAAACTACCTCCAGGTAGTTTCCAGGACGTTTTCTTTCGCTCACCCCTAAAAAAAGGAGGTCTGCAGATCCCCCGTCTCAACGAACCCCCGCCTTTGCACTTCTTGGGAAACATTCTGAAGCTGGGTGCGAAGGAGACAGAAAACGCACAGCGCATTTTGGTGTCGGTGGAAATATCACGGCTAGTCACGAACGCCATATAGAGGTTGGAGATCGAAAAATGAATTCCGAAACCTTGAGGACAAGGAAACTCAAAGTTGGGGCTAAACTTTAGAGAAGTTCCTCGTCACCCAGTAAGGCAAGCCGTATAACAATTTTGCATGGTTCGCGGAGTCAAATCAGTATATGTTTCAAATGAACTAGAACCTTGAAGCGAAATTTGCCATCGAGCAAAAACCTCTATCTTTGTCACGAGGTACCAAAAGACACTATCCGAATCTTGAAGTTCTTCGTGTATTTCTAAACCAGCAGTGAACAATTTGCGAGTGGCTATGCTCTTTTATATATGGTTTATCTCGTTTAACCGTTTGATGCCATTGTATTTCTCTGTATATCAATGTTATGCGTTTTGTGTTGCGACCAGCCCACCAGGGCTTGGAAATCAATAAAGTGAATAACCAAGTGCCTCATCATCTAATTAGTGCCGCGCACGAATGGTTCAACCAGATCCTTACTTTCCCTATTTACTGTTTAGCGAAACAACAGCTATGGCAATTGTATTGTAATAATCAGCGGGGAAAGAAGACCCTGTTGAGCTTGACTCTAGTTTGATTTTGCGAAGACACAAACGGTGTGGCATAAGCGGGTAATCGGTTCGTCCAGTCGAAAGTGAAATACCACTACTTTTATAGTTTCTTTACTTATTCGGTGAAGTCGATGAAGAGTCGTTAAATGATTCGGTATTTTTGTGTTAGTATTTGTTTGTTGTTGCTGTGTACACCGAAGAGAGTGTCAGAAGAGGAAAATGTACCAATTTTCACTCGTACACTGGTGAAAATTTAACGCAGGTGTCTTATGGAGAGCTCAGTGAGACCAGAAACCTTACGATGAATAAAAGGTCGAAAGCTTGCTTGATTTCGCTTTTCAGTCTTTTTGACTTTGTTTATTTCAAACAAGGGGTGTCAGATAAGTTACCACCGATAACTGGATTGTGGCAGCCAAATGTTCGTAACGACGTTGCTTTATTGATCTCTCGATGTCGGCTCTTCATTTGCAAAGTGTTGGAAATGTTGGCTCGGTTTAAACCGTCGTGAGACATCTTAGTTTTACCGTACTGATGACAGTATCGTTGCAAACGTGATCATGCACAGTATGAGAGGAACCGCTACTTTTGATATTTGGTTTGTGTATCTGGTCGAAAGGCCAATGATGCGAGTCTATCGTCAGTTTGATTATGGTTGAACGCCTGTAAATCAGAATCTGGTCTATAGCGGAATAGAAATTAAGCTGTCTGTATGCATCAGGGCGAAGATAAAGTTCACTTCAATGAAAAGTACGAATTAGTGAAACGTCGGGAATCCGTGTCGGGTGTTTTGATGTTGGACAATTTGCGGACGTGCGAATGAAAGCTACGATGTATTTGATGATTAGAACAATTGTGAAACAGGTAACAGACGAGGTGTCGTATTCTTTTGAGTAGGTACCATCCTGTGATCAGTTGAAACTGTGCCTATGACTAGGGTTCTTTTGTCAGTACTTTCTAAACGAAAAGTTTAAGGCAAAGACCTGAGCGATATTAACTGCGGGTTGAGTTTATATTCAATAATTTAATTGGTAATTGCCATGTTATAGCAGAGGGTTAAACAAAAATTTTACCACATTTTTATGGACTTAGGATGTATTTCGCTTATATTAAATAACGTACAGTGTCACATTTAACAGGGTTTAGGAATAAAATTGACCCTGTGCCATTGTCGGACTTTGAGCAAAATTCGATTTTCATCATCCGTAAATTGTAAGCTACGGTGTTAATTTTAAAAATTAATGCCATGTCGTTGTGACGACTTTAAATAAAATTCGATCGCCGTACCGCGTATCATGTTAAATGTCTGTGTTAACCTGAATCCTGTGTGATTTTGCATATTTTGAGTTAAATTCAAAAGTTTTGAACCATAAGGTATTGTACATGGTTATTTGTTAATTTAGCCTTATATTATGTAATATTATACAGGGTTTATGAATAAAATTAACCGTGTGCCGCTTGAGCTTTGAGTAAAATTCGATTTCCTGTTGGGTATTCTGTATCGATTACGGTGTTAAATCGCCATGCAGGCACGTGAATGAATTTTCCCTTCGATGTAGCGAATATGTATGAGAAAGAATAGAAATTTGATATAACCATATGCCAAAGTTTGAAAGGGATAAGTTTCCTTTCATATGGAAGGTGATACTTTGGGGCTGACAGTCCTGGCGATGTCAGGACAGTACTGAATAAATTTGTATTTGCTAAATATCCTTAAAGGTGGTAGACTTGCATCGCAAGATGTGGAATATGTTTAAAACGGAATTGAAATTTTATCGAGTTTTGAGCAAATGTTTGAGAAGAACGAATTTCTATTTATGTGAGACGTTGATGTTTGGAGCGAGCATGACCTTTGCTGCTTGATAATGACGATTGTTTGAAAATGGATTGCAAGTGGGCTGTTTGGTTGAGATAGTGAAGATATGTATGAAAATGATTGAAAATTTAAACTCGTGCCAATATTTGAGGATACGAGTTATATCTATGAAAGGCGCTGGTTCTTCGTTTGTTTGGGCGTGGTATTTTTAACGTGGACTATTTGTGGCTGAGACCGATTGTCTTATTTCCGTGGTAATCATATGATTTTCTGTGAGTACTTTAGTGGTTTTCA